AAAAAGTCTCATCATCTGGCTGCACTTCATCCAGAGCAGATTTATTAGTTTTGTCTTTTATTTTTGGAAGTTCATGGTATAGTGGATATTCTTTGCCAATACAATACAAAAACATTAGTTCTCCTTCAGTCCTCTTTATTCATCATCTAACTTTCACATATTAGATAAAAGGTAATACATAGTTTCAAAAACAAAAACCTCCAAATCAAAGACAAACTATTATTGATCTAGAACAGTGTTCTGGAGAGTACATTTTTTAAGCACTTGGAGATTTTAAAATAAAATAATTCCTGAGCCACGACTCAATATATTGGTCTAATATGGGGCCTAAGCATATTTTGTTAAAGAAAAACAACAACAACAACAACAAAAACACAACCTACCAACAAACACCCTACTCCAGCCCCCCATGGAAAATTGTAATATACAGACAAACTTGAAACTCCTAGGACACAGAGGCAATCTGTAAACACACTGAAATATGCTCTAGGTGAATTGAGAAAAGATTCATTTGGATGTTGGCAACAAAATTGAGATCATCTAAACTGAGTCCAGTTGGCTAATTCTAAATGCAAATTTTTCTCACCATTACAAACAAACAATAAAAAAGATTCGCGGTTCTAAAAGGTTGCTAGCTGTGTTGGCTTAGTTGTAAGAAGTTGCACCCAGAAGCAAATGGGTTCACCCTCCTCTGCAATGTGCTGCCTCTGAAAATTCGCTAGAGGGTCGGCTATAAGTCCGTTTTAACTCATTTATCACTTAACAAGTGATTATAAATCAATACCTGTTAAATTGCTGGTGACCTCGGTAGGTAAATTTCTTAATAATCAGTGGAAACATTGAGTTTAATATAATATTTACAATTGTGTCAAATTCCTCAGCTATCTCTTTTATTCATAAGCAATAAAAGTAAACCAGCTCCAGGGATACTTAAGAATGGTGGCTTGCTCATCTTTCCCCCAGAACAATTTTCTGAAAACACACAGATGCCTGTCTAGATCAATGGTTGATTAACAAAGGGCCTGGAGAGGCCTCCTCTGAGTCATGTGACAACGCAGGCCACACAACAGCTGACTCAAACTGAAAGAAGGTGTTTCCTAACCTGCTGACCTTAGGCATTTGAGTATCAAAGCCCTTCCCCGCCCTCCGCCTAGTCTTGAAATAATTGTCCAGACAAGAAATAAATGCTGGCGCGGCCTCTGCGGCGAGAACCGAGGGAAGCGCGGGCGCGGGCTCCGTAGGCGGTTTGGAGGCGGATCTCGGGGACCCAGCAGGAGCGAGTGTCAGCTGCCCGCCCAAAGCGCAGTGAGTACAACTGCTCACAGGCTTAACCCAGAAGCTGTGCTGCGGGCTTCACGGGTTTTCAAAATGTGCTCAAGATTTAGAAACTAAAATCAAAGCTCGGAATGAATACTTTCGAGTACTGTCCATTTTAGCCAAGAGGCAGGCAGAGCTTGCAGGGAGACTTGAGGAACCCGAAACTAAAAATGAAATCTTAATTGAATTGGAGCAAGCAGCAGTGATGAGAACTTACCGAGTTACTGCATAAAGTTGACATTAACTGGGAAAATTCTGTAGAAGAAAAGTACCGACCAACTCCAGGAGCAAGAGGGAATAGATGTCAATAAAAACATGGGTGGAAATGTAAAAGTAAACATTAAAATAATCTTGTGTTTACTTAAAAATAATTCAAAATATACTACAAGATTTCCTTTAAAAAGAATTAAGAGTAGTAAGTTAATTAAAAGTATATTTTCCCTTATCCACAAAAATGTCACTGTTTTAGGTCTTACAAAGTAATATCTCAGTCCACACTGAAATTAGCAATACTATATAATCATATGACAGCTGTATATCATAAACTTTTTTAATATATAGAGGGTAATAACTATGTATGCAAACAGTGGTTGATAATTATTAAGTGTTCAAAATGTAGGTATAATGATTCTTTGGTCTGGGCTGAAATCTAAGAGGTTTGGGGCTGCCAGTATTTTTAAGTGCATCCCCCTTCTCATCATAGTAATTCATCTCTTTGGAAGTTCAGGCATTCTCTTCGCTTTGCTTGTTTTAAATCAATATGGAAGATTGTGCTTTTTAGCTAATAGCTAATCATGTGTCTTTTTAGTCCCATGATACCCTTTTGCAGATATCCCCAGTGTCTCCAGGTTATTGCAGCTCTGATACCTTAACAGCATTCCACCTGCTTTTTGCTATCTTTTCAAGACGAGCTCATACAGATGGTGCAGGGCTTAGGGTTTTTTTTGTTGAGCTAAACAGTAAGACTATTTTTTTTAAATTGAAATGGTGTTACTGTGTGTTTACATTCAGCTCAGTGTTTTGTGTCCATACATGATGGTTTTTTCCTGAGCAATTTTGAAATTATTCCTATTTGAGTTAAATTATTCACCACTTCCAAATACCATTTATTTGTTATATTTGTTGTTGTTGTTGTTGATTGCCTTCGAGTCGAGCACTACTTGTAGTGACCCTAAGAACAAAAGGCCTGAAGCCCCTCTACAACTATCGACATTTACTAAAGTTCATAGTTTCCAGAGGCATGTTATTTCGGAAGTGGATCTTTTGTATAAACTTATTTCTAAGTAGGGAGCGCTAGGAGGGGTCGTGGCAAGAATCTGTATTGCAATCCCCAAAGCATGCAGTTTGAAGTCATCAGCTGCTCCATGGAAGGGTGGGCAATCTCCTTCCCTGTGATTAACTGCCTTTAAAAATCCGCAGCATCAACATTTATAAGAATATATATTTATTCTTCTCTCTGAAAACACAGAGGATTAATATGTGGAAACTGAAATCTCTTAAAACACAATTTATACTAAAAGTAAAATAGCAAAGAAGGGTACTTTCACATTTCCTTTAATATATGACCCTCAACCAGGTGGAGTAATGCAGTGACTGCAGCAGTGGGATCAAGTGTGTCAGAGAAGATGAAAATGGCACAGGATAGCGCAGGGCTCACGTCTGTTGTTCATAGGGCTGCTATGAGTCATACTCTCCTCAATGGCACCTAACAAAAACAACAATGTCCCTCATTAACACTCATCTGTCGGTTTGTTATATTGTAGTGGCTTTTCTTTTTCTGAGATGCTGAGGGGTATACCACCAATATTTCTAATAGTAGGAAGGTTTCAGGGAAGCTTCCAAACTAAAACAGAGAAGGAAGAAGGATGTGACAGTCTACTTCTGAAAAAAAATTGCCACTAAAAACCTTATGAGTAACAAAAATACATTTTCTGATATAGTACCCTCTCATGTTGCAAAATGCTCAAAAGTCAGTGAACTCAAGCCTATGTAATTGTGAGGATGGCACAGGACTGGCTAGCTGTTCCATTCTGTTATACACAGGGTCACTGTAGGTAGGAACCAATTCTATTGCACCTAACACAGTGCCTGGGTGATACAAACTCTGGTAGCCTAATAGTTAATGATTTTGTGTAGTCAACCTAAAGGCGGACAGTCCAAATTCCCCAGCTGCTCTGCAGAAGAAAGGAGGAGTTTCCTCCCATTTGATTAAAAACCTATGAGAACCCACCAGAGGGTCAGCTATGAATAGATTCTGACTCAACAAGTTGGTGTGTGTTAATAGAAAGATTGGCAGTTAGAATCCACCCAGTTGAGGCACAGAAGCAACCCTGGCACTCTACTGCCACAAGATTGCAGCCACTGGAACCTTGTGCTATGCAAGTCTGTTCTGACACACGTGACATTCCCATGAGTTGGACTGACACAGGGCAACTTTTAAAAAACTTAATACATATACATAAAAGTTATCACTAACTGTAGAAATCAATCTGGAGTGAGAAGAGGACTTTCCATTGAGCTTAGATGATGAAGTAAACCAAAAAGCTAGCATGTGGAGTATGAACTCCAGATGATATTGTGAGAAGATTCTACTTGCCTTCTGTGATAAAATGTTTTGTGTTTTTATTTCTTATGAGACTGCTGCCACCTAAAAAAAAAAGAGGGGGGTATTTAGTGGCCTTCTCCAAATACTATTGTGTGACTGACCCTTGGTTATTTGAGACTTGGGTTCATTTCTACATAGGGAAATGAGACCTTTGAATAACTCTAGTATTACTTTTCGATGAAATGTACTGTGATGATAGAAATGTCTATAATCTTTGATATCCAGGACAGTGGCTACCGGCAACTTGTGGCTGTTAAACTCTTGAAAATATGACGAGTATGTCTAAGGAACTGTTTTTTCCTTTTAATCTTAATTTTAAGGAAAATTTAATTACTCATATATGGCTAGTGGCTACCACATTGCAGAGCGCGGATAGCAAACTGCATCACTTTATTCTGCTGGCTCATAGTGTTGTGTAACACATCACTGCTGATCTCATGCTTTAGGAGATTCTTGAAGCATTTCTCCTATCTGTTCCACTTTTCCCTGAGGTCAGAAAGACAGTGGGAATCATGAGCTATTTCAGCCAGCATACTATGAGAGTATTGCTGGTGGAGAAAAGTGCTTTTCCTCTAGGGGATGCTAGGATGTAGCAGCAATACTGCCTAAATGTGTCCTTGGGCCACCTTTGAACTTTTTCCTTGTAAAGCACTTTACAATTCTGAAAGCTCTCTCACAGATGGTCTTTTTATTTGTTTATTTGAGGTAAAGTGTCTGAGTCCAGAAATCATTCATTACACCAGGAGATGAACATTTGTATTCAAGTTTCAGAGTAACTTAGGCTTCAACCTTTGAAGGCAAAGTTTTTTTCAAAGAATTGCAGGTTGAGGATCAAAACACATTTTGAGTAGAATGAATGAATGCATGAAGTGTGAATGTAATAGATCATTTCATAATGTCCTCTTTATCTACAGAAAATAATCTTAATATACTTTTTATAAGGTCAATAAATGCCAAGTTAATCCAACAGGTTTCCTACTGTTTAATTGTTTCTTTCTTCTTGCTTTCATTTCAGACACTCTCGAAAAACACATAAAATCTGAAGTGAAGGAACTTGCTCGCAGGCGTTGCTGGAGCCATGAGTAATAATGGAACAGACCTAACCACGGGATTTGCCGCCTCTTCTGTTGCTATTCTTTTGTTTGGCTCAAACTTTGTGCCACTTAAAAAATATGATACTGGTGATGGTAATTATGTTTTCCTTCTTTATTAGCTTCACATTGTATTTAAATATTAGTCTGTGTGTAAAATTAAAAGTACAACTGTGCAAACGGTACAAAAGTAGAATCTAGCGATCCAAGTGCCAAAGAATATGCTGGTGCTGGGTGCCATCAATTCCTGCTCATAGCAGCCATATATAGAACAGATTAAAACCTTTCCTGACCCATCACCATCCTCACAATCTCTCCTACGCTTAAACCCATTGCTGCAATCACTGTGTCAATCCAGCTCCTCAAGGGTCTTCCTCTCTTTTGTTGATTCTCTACTAGTGTTCAAACTGGCATCCTTGTCTTTAGCATTTTAATATTTTTTTACCAAGTTCATGCAAATTTAACTGAGAAGTTACTATATGATTGGACTCCATGACAAAGCTAGCATGGATACTGTTTGGAAAACACAGTTACTTTTTATAAACCATATCTATTGTATTTACAAAGAAGGAAGATGCAGTCAGTTCTGCTACAAGGTCTATTTTGAAAACATGAATTTATAATGTGATTGATATTTTGGAGAAAACTCTGGACATAATTTGAATTTTATGTTTATATACATGCACGTCCTTCCCCTAGAAAACATGAAGTGAACATAAGAACAGTCTAAAGAAACAAAAACATCTAAGAATATACAACACACACATATACTTGCGTATGTACACATGAACAGACGTACACAAATACACACACTCAACGTCAATCAGCTTCTCCACTCATATAGGTCTGATTATATCCATCATCCTTCAATCACACAGTAGCCGAAAAGCTGCAACCCTTCCAACACCAATTTCCAAAGTAAGCTTTATATCTTTTTTAAGTTAAAATGCTGTATTTTTAAAATTTATTAACAAGTTAATCTCTGTAAAGCTTTACTTTTATTGTTGGTGGTGGTGTCGATTGCTGTCAAGTCGAGCATAACTCATAGCAACCCTATGAACCAAAGGCCGAAGCCTTTCTATAACTACCATTATTTCTCCAGGTTCATAGAATTTCCAGAGGCATGTGGTTTAGGAAGTGGATGTCACTCTTGCTTCCAAACCAATCTTAAACTGGCAACTCCATCAAACATTGTCCACCATGGGCAGCTGTTATGGTATTTGACGCCTAATGATGCAAGGTTCAGCTTTACAGCAAACCCAGATTACCTCAGTACAGCAAATTGACAGAAGAGTGCTGTACAATTTATAAGAATGTTTCTCCAAAATAATAACACTAGGCCCTTGGGCTCAAAAGATATTTAAATACAAGGACAATCCATATATAAATATGAATGAAAAATGAACAAAAGGCCTGGAGCCTTTCTATACTTATGATAATTTCTCCAAGTCCATAGACTTTCAAGAAGCATGTAATTAGGAAGTGCATGCCACTCCTGCTTCCAAACCTGAATAAATCTGAGAGCTCCACCAAACACTGCCATGTGGGTAGCCAATATGTTTGACACACCTGCTCAGTGTATCACTGATGATGATTTTAAATGTCTCATAACTCATAAGACCTGTGGTTTTTATTATATGTTTTACACACCATTTTTAGACATTCAGTATCATCACATAGGAGGACTGACTGAAATGTATATTTTAAGGAAGGAGGGAAAAAAATAGTTACTAGTTATCTTTCTACTGTTAGTAATAGGATGGCCTCGGTGGTATAACCTGTAGGGAGTTACATTGCTAACTCAAAGGTCAATCCTCTCTAGAGGTTCAAATTCACCAGCTGCTCCATGGCACAATGATGGGAAATCTCCTCCCATGCACTTTACAGCTTCTGAAAACCTGCTGGAGGGTCAGCTCTGAGTTAGTTCAGACTACAAGGCAATAACTGACTGATTTTCCATATCAGAGCCAGGAGGAGTGGTTGAAGATAATATAGTAAATACCTACTGGATAGGTTGTTCGTACTATCTTCCCAGTTCTTTATGTTTTTACATTATTCATAGAATAAAATCATATATCCTTTTTGTCACAGACTTTCAGGATTTCTTCTCTTTTCTTTTTTGGAATTGAGTTTTGAGAAGATTGGCAACTACTAGGAATATATCAGAAAGCATACTGTTAGGTACAAGGCTTCTTGGATTTTAGGGCTTTTTTTTTTTCTTTCACACTAGCTCAGATGGCATAGTGTGTCACATATTGTGCTATTAACCAAAAAGGTCTGTGGTTTGAATCCATCAGTGGCTTCTCTGGTTTCTCTAAAGGAAGAAAGATGTCGAGTCTTCTTGTCAAAGAATTTAGAGATTTGGAAACTTGACGGAGGATTGCTCTGAGTCAGGGTCACCTCAGCGGCAGTGGGTCTTGGCTTTGGTTTACGTAATCTTGGACAAGTTTCATCATCTCTTTTGTTTTTAGTTTCTCTTTGGTAAAGCAAAGCTTTTGTGAAGTTTCAATTATCTTTAGGATCCTAGAATCCTCCTTTTTTTTTCCTTAGAGGTTAACCACTATCCTCTCTCTCTCTTCCACTGTGAGATGAATAGAAATAAGCAAAAATCTTCCAAAGTTATAGTGACAAAGCTTTGTTGCATTACCACCACCTCAGTGTTTTCCAACGTCGGGCATTACCACCACCTCAGTGTTTTCCAACATCGGTTCTTTTTCTGTTGTTCAGCTCCTACACTCCTGATGATGCAGAAGCCTCAGAGCAGTTAAGATACACCTCCTGTCACCAGGTCATCTTCAGATGGCTGACAAATGGCAACCCAAATCATAGGACGCGTCCTGTAAGGTCTGGTTTATGACAGGCATGAATCGCTGATGGGAGAAGCTCTGTATGTGACCATAAATAACTGTATTATTGACCCAGAAGTGGCACAAATCACCTCTAAGTGTAAATCACTGTGTACTATTCTGCTGTTCTCAAAGCAATGGTTTTTGGGTGTTGGGAGGTTGGTGGTGAAGAATAGCACTAGGTGTAGCATCCAAGTGAAAATATTGATGTGATTTTGCTAGCATTATTTGGTCACTAAATAAATTCTTAACTTATCGAATACAGACACACCTCATTTTAGTGTGCTCCACATTATTGTGCTTTACAAATGCTACATTTATTTACAAATTGAAGATTTGTGGCAAACATGTATCAGGGAAATTTGTCAATGCCATTTTCCAATACTTTGTGCTCATTTTGTGACTTTTTTTTTATCCTTTTCACAGTAGCCCAAATTTACTATAATGCTATTGCACATTTAATAAACTACAGTACAGCATAAATATGCAAGGTGAGCTTCAAAATCCTAGCTTTCAAGGAGAGACTTGGTTTCACCCTCTCTAAGACAGACTGATTTAATTCTAAGTATGCAGGGTTTTCAAAGGCCAGGTACATTTCAGAAGTGGATGGTCAGTCCTTCTTCCTAGTCCGTCTTAATTCGGATGCTTAGTGTTAGACGAATATCTGACAGACAAGCAATACTCAGGGAATGTGGTCAGGAAAGACCAGTCCTTGGAGAAGGACATCATGTTCAGAAGGGCAGATGGACAATGAAGGAGAGGAAGACCCTGGATGAGAAGGATTGATATAGCATCTGGGGCAATGGGGGTTGGTGTGTTGGAATTACTGAGACTGGCTAGGGACAGGGAAGGGTTCAGAACTGCTGTACATAGAGTAACTATACACCACAGTTGACTCAACAGCACATAACAACAACAACAACAACAACATGCTCTATTTTTTTTTTTCTGTTGGTTTAATTGTTTTATTTAAGCCTCTTGTTCAGAATCAACAACACGGTGGGGGGGGCTTTGTGTTTAAAGTTGGTTGTTATTATATTTTGGAGAAGCATTCTTCTAAGTGGTACAGCACTCTTCTGTCAATACGCTGTACTGAGGTAACCTGGGGTTGCTGTGATACTGAACCTTGTGCCATTGGTGTGTCAAATGCCATAATGGTTACCCATGGTGGACAATGTTTGGTGGAGATCCCAGTTTAAGACAGGTTTGGAAGCAGGAGTAGCATCCACTTCCTAAATAACATGTGTCCAGAAACTCTATAAACTTTGATAAATGTCAATAATTATAGAAAGGCTTCAGGCCTTTTGTTCATGGGTCGCTATGAGTTGTGTTCAACACAAAGGCAATCAACAACAACAACATAGCTTAGTATTACTTTAATATACACTGGGAGACCCAAGTATTCATATGACTCCCTTTATTACAGTGGTCTAGAACCAAAGTTGGAATATCTCTGAAGTATGCCTGTGGGGTAAAAAACAAAACAAAACACATTGTTTTATATGCATTGTATATAGTAGATTTAGGCACTAAATAAATGGCATTTAAATTTCAATTTTATAAAGTATTAGCATATGAACAAACAGCTTAATCTCTTTCAGATTGTTTTCTATATTTGTATGAGTAATGACTGTTGCAAATTTGGTAGCCGAATTATATTACATATGCCAAGTGCCTGACATATTGCCATTCAACAAATCGTGTCCTTTTCTGAAATAACTTCACATTGATATTCCTACGCATTAAACGTAATCAAATTAGTGTGGAGCACTAATACCATATTCTTTTATTTCCAGGAATGTTTCTCCAGTGGATTCTCTGTGCTGCAATTTGGTTGGTTGCTTTAGTGGTCAATCTGCTATTACATTGCCCTAAATTTTGGCCTCTTGCAATGCTTGGAGGCTGCATTTGGGCAACAGGTAATGACTGATATACCTTCTTTTTTTATATATTTATATATGTATATTTTATTTTATATATGTATATTTTATTTTATATATGTATATTTTATATATATATACCTTTATACCTTATTTTTTAGTCACCTAGCTCATAATCAAAATAACTCTTATTCACAATAAAAAAACACAAATAGTAATTTGAATAATCCTCAGTCACAGATATTAAAAATTAGCATTTCTTTCAGAAATTCTGGAAATATTTTTGATATATTCCTTAACATTGCCTTAATAACTTCCCTCAAAGTGCCTAATAGTAAATTATCACACTAATAATCTTACATTTACTCTGTATATGTCTAAGCATAGCTGATTCATTCTTTTAGGTGGTCTAAATTTTCTTCTTTCTCTAGTGGGTTTATAATTATATATATAGTGTACCATAGAATTGGAACCAACCCATACTTGACCTTCAGGCACGTTTTCAGAGGCTATTAATCACACAGGAATAGATTGCCCAACCTTCTTCCATGGAGCAACTGGTGGCCTCAAACCATGTGCCTTTGGGATAACAGTGCAACTTCTTGCCACTAGGCAACCAGAGCTCCATATATATAAATTAGACACTTACTACTAATAGCATTTTTAGGACTTGTCCTAAAAGCAGACAAGCACTCTTTTACTATAATGTAAAAAACAAACAGAAAAAACCAAACCAAAACAAAAAAAAAACTAGCCAGCAAAAACAAAACAAAAACTTTCCTCTAATGTCTAAAATTATGTAACTAAAATGCTTGCTTTACTTGACCAATCATCAGCATTTTCCTTCTGTTAATGTAAATACATCCCTGGGAAAGTTTTTAAGCCAAAAGAAAGGTAGGAACCAACAATATGTAGTAGGGCTTCTTTCTGGGTGACTAGGAGGGTGGTAATTTGTAGTTTTTGAAGTTTCCACACCACAGGAGCTCTCTTCCCTACAGTTTGGAGCTTGACATAATACTCAGATCCAAGCTAGAGAGGTGGCATGGGGGGCATACACTTCTGGTTGACAGCTGACCTTGTGTGATACTCATAGAAAATGAGAATAAAAGGTGCAATACGTGTAACAATAGACCATAGGAGTCACTTAAATCCAGAAGCTATAAAAAGGAAAAACAGCCAGGAAAAAAGGCTAATGCAAGAAACAAGAAAAGATGAAAGTATACTGCAAATCAAGAGAAGAAATGGTTCAATGATCTCAAGAGATTGCAAAAATGAGGCCAAAATTTGCAAGCCTGCAGAGATGCTGAGAATTTTTAAAAATGGATCATGGGTTTTGTCAAGAGTGACCCTGGAGAATGCAAGGATTCTTGAGAATTCAGGGATTCATTAAGAAGTGTCAGTGAGAATGGAAGAACAAAATTTGGAACCATTTGAGCCCTGTTTTGACTCTAAAATGATTTTTCTTAGTACTATCATTAGCAGCTGCTAAAAAAAACAAAAGTCATCCAAGAGACCTGTTAAGTATGAAAAGCATCCACACAATTAGACAAGAAGCTAATTAAACATTTTTCTTTGGAAGATTTTGCCCTAAGCCAAGTTCATTTAATAATTTTAAGTAGGAATTTAATGCCCGAGAAATGTGTTTCTTTTCTTTAAGATGAGGAATTGTACTTTAAGTACTAAATTTGTCCCGCTATAAAATCTCAGTGGTTGATAGGTGAAATTAGTTCAATTTACACATGTTTTTTTTTGTGTTAGAAATAACATTTCTCTTTTTTATATTACATCTGCAGGGAACATTGCTGTTGTCCCAATTATCAAAACCATTGGTTTAGGCCTTGGCATCTTAATCTGGGGATCATTTAATGCATTAACTGGCTGGGCCAGCTCAAGGTAACATAAGTCAGATTATTTCAACTGAGAATCCATACTGTATGTGTAAATGCTACATATTAGACTATGAGAGGATCAATATATGATTCTCACTCTCACAAAGAGAGATTAAAGCTGGTAAGGAATACTTTTCCACCTTTGATTATAATTTGTCCTAAATTCTATTGAAGTTATCCAGAAACGTTTTCAAGATAAAGCAAAGAATATTTAGGGAACAGAAGGAGAGAAAGAGAAAGGGAACAGATTCTTATTTTCCCTTTGTGTTGTTGCTAGACAGAATGTATGTACCATGTGTTGTTGTGTACCAACTCATAGCTGACCCTCGAGCAGGTTTTCAGAGGCTGTTAATTGCATGGGAGGAGTTTGCCCATCCTTCTCCCACCCACTGTACCATTAGTGTTCCATTTTATATATATATATATACTATCTTACTAATAAAAAACCTGAGTACAAAAGAAATAGAAAATTCACTAAAGGTCATAATAAACCAAAAATCGAGGTTTCTGCCACTAAGCCACATAATTTTCCCTAGAACTTGATCAGGCAGCTACACTTTACAAGGCTAAATCTAGCTCCTACACCTTTTTAGAAATAAGTTTTATGAAAACACAGTCCATTTGTGTGTGTATATGTGTGTGTATATCTTCTATCTACTCTTGTAAAATATATAACCTTATAGAATGTGGTTGTTGTATACTGTAGAGTCAGAACTGACCCATTGCTGACCCTCTGGTGGGTTTTCAGAGGAAGAGATTGCCCATCCTTCTCTCGTGGAGCAGTTGGTGGCCTCAAACAGTGTACCTTTGGAATTGTAGTGCAGGTTCTTGCCACTAGGCCACCAGAGCCCAAATGTGTGTGTGTGTGTGTGTGT